TGGCATCTTAAAGCTACGAAAAGGTTACTCGACCGGTATTCAAAAGAAAACAAAGGAAGAGAAGTCGGCAAACTGATATCGAAAAGAGAATGAAGAGTAAGTCACTTTTCTAATACCCGGAAAAAGTGGTGAAGCTGGTGAAGTGGCATCCGGAAGAGAGTAAAAAATTGTTAGAATGGCAGCCTAACGAGTGCGAAAACTATCCGTTGGCTCTTCAAGCGGTGACGATTTGCGTAGTGAGTACTGGGGACATCAACCGAAGTATATAATAATCATGTCAGTAAAAAATCATTCAAATGAGCGTCAAAAGATGCGGCTCGTAATCGCTGTTGGAAAACCAAAAAAAAAAATCTAAAATCTTGAGCTACAATGAAAAAACCTCAAAATTGTATTTTGTTCACAATATATGAATGCGGGTTCATAAAAAACAAAAACATTTAAGTGTTCGTGAAAACTAAGTTTTCCGTTAATGGAGCTCACTTCGAGTTTAATGGCGGATCCTCCTTCAACATTGTTCGGCTCAGCTTTCAGTGCGGCATATTCACCTTTACGTTTCATATGCTCGACACGGTACACCTGCCCAAACCCTCCCGCATCTAGTTTGTTTTTGATTTTCCATCTACCAAACCTTAACTTTTACAATTTTTGAAATGCAAAAATCTTACCATTGGTTTTTTTTTTTTTAAATTTTGGGTTTCAAAAAATTTGGTGTTTTTGTGCGATATTTTTTGCTCAAACCATAGAAATAACAATTTTATACAAAGCATCAAATAATCCAAGGAATCAGATGGCTAATTTCTTCAAACGCATTGCTACGAATACGCAAAGTCCTTTCATTTCCGGTGCAGATATCTCTCACAAAAAACAGCAACAGGGAGAGAAGGATAAGCTATATTTTTGGAGGATTATTTTACATTACAGGAAATTACTTTAATTTTTGTATTTCACAAACTAACTGCTTCCGCAATAGTTTATTAACCCATGTCATATTATATTTAATTGTTTTTTTTCTTGACGTTTTACAAACCGAGAGTACCTCAGTGATTTATCACTTCTCTTTCTATCCTTATTTCGCAAACAGTACCGTGGATTATTATCCTCTGTTTAGGTTGACACAGCCTATTCTGCGTTTGGTTAAGAAAAAAAACTTTGCTGTATGCTTTTACTAATATTTTTTCTTTTTTTCTTGCTGAATTAATGGAAACTAGATGTAAGTAGAGAAGCTGGGTGGTATTCTTTCATAACCGGCCGGCGAGTGTACTTCTTTTGTTTATTCCACGAATTCTAAGATGAAAGGCGCCGATTTAGTGCTACTGAACAAAGTTACAAGTGTTGCTTTTGGATAAATTTATATCAAAATGTTGATTAAGTGCCTTGAGAAAAAAAGGATCTAAAATGATGGGTTTTTCGAGGCAATGCTAAAAAGTGCGTCTCCAACCAAAATTCCTGGATATTGTCTTGAATAAATTAAGCATGTGTGAGTGCATGTGGAGGATGAAAGTAGATACTTTCGGCCGACTTTGAAATTGATCGGTGCTGACAGATCTTCTTCTGCTGTGTATTCGAAATTCATTGTTGCATATCTTTGTGCGGCATAAGCTACAGAACAATGAAACGCATTTATTAGCCTTTGTACTTGGGCCAAATATGCAAATTTAGACAGTTGCTACGATCAGCTGCACTTCGTCGATGACTGTCAACGGATATGAGCTCTAGTTTTCAACTTTTCCAGCTCTTTCAACCTAGGCTGCATGCTTGATGATCAGTCTGTTGGCGATCCTGATGTCCATTCCACGAATTTAAATGAAATAGATCAAATTTGAAAAAAAAATGGCTCCGTTTATTAATTTCTTTTCCTTACCTAGCAAATCGTTTTTTATGCGTTTTGTGCTGTGTAACAGCAGTACAAAACGCATATTGTTACGGGGTTGTCT